AGCCTCTGGTACGGCCCCACTGCGCCCTTCCAGGCAGCCATCGAGCGAACCCCTTCAACCTGCCCCTGCAAAGGACTCCGTGTCTCTTCAAAATGCAGCTTTCCCCAGCAATTGCGGAGATTCACGTGTCTGAGCTTTAGAAAGTGAAAGAACATTTTATTCTAAATGCCATCACGCCAGAACAGCTAAAATATTCTGTCTTAGTGATATTAAACAAAACTGTGCGGTTTAAATTTAGCTCTGAGTTTTAGCAGACAAGCTTGCGATGCCTGGGTCTTCTGACTCTAAAACAACTGTGAAAGTAGAAAAAAATACAAATATTAATATTCTGGCAAGATGCAACCATATATTCCTAGAAAATAAATATTTATGAAATTCCTAGAGCTAAAACCTTGTCCTCACTACAGCAGGTGCCTGTTTGTCAGATGTTCAGTTTTGCAAAGCCAGCGTGGATGACTCCTCCTCGCACACTCAATTCCACCTCTCAAACAAACAGTTAATGATGTTCTCAGTATTCATGGAAGCAAAGCCTGAAATTTAAAAAAAACACATGGAGCACAAACAGAGCTTCTTTGATAAAAAAAAAAAAACAAACACATTTTTAGAACATTTTAACATTTGCTATTTGCCTCTCAGACACTTATTTTTGCATTTTTTATTGAACATGGCTCAAAGTAAAGAGGGTATAATAGATACCCAAGAGAATACATCTTTACTCTGTTGGGAAAACAGCTGATTATGCTCTCTAACAAAGCTGATCACTCTGAAAGGTTATCTACTGACTCGAGCAGTTTATTAAAGTAACTAAATATTTCAAACTACATGTTTGACTACAGGAGTACAGATTTGTTTCCTCTCAAATTGCTAACAGAAATTTTGGTGAGAATAGCATGGCAGACGTATTTAGAGGATGCAGCAGCAGAAGAAAAAAACCTTTATCTTTCAGTCTTACAGGGGTCCTATTTCTTATTCCCTTAACCCCTCCACATAGAAAACCTGTCTTTCCTGATTTGAGGTCTATGGTGGTGGGTCAGTCATGTGTTTGAAGCTGGAGAAAAGTGCAAAATACATTGTTTTGGCAAGGATGCACCTCCCTTACCTCTTCTCTCCCCTACCCCAAATGTAGAATTTAATGTTTTTAAATACTGTGCCCAGCATTAGATTTCTCATATCATTTTCCACATCATACATCATAGGACACTTATAGCTCTTCTACAAATGCTACACTAATTCAAAGTATTTACTACATATTCCTAAAAAAAACCTTAATAAAATCCTGTTCTAGTTACTTGGGTTTTCATGACAAATCCATGCCCAAAATATTAACAACTCTTAGTTTTAAAATAAATACAAGTATTGCATATTGTGTATATTTATTGAGATTATTGCATGTTCATAGTAGATTTTTAAAGGAAGTGAGTCCCTGCAACTGTGACGTGGTAAGACAATAACTCCACTTGGGCATGCACCTCTAACATCTTTCCAGCAATTTCTCCGGGGCTTGCACTTGGCTTTCCCCATTGACAGGCACTAATCTTTGTGTCCTCCAAGAGAGATGGTAAAAAACCCAGTGTGCTGGTGCTGATGAAGGAAGGGGAAATTGTGAAGTGTACCACAGCTATGAGATGTCATTTACACCACAACATCTATGTGCTGTAGTAGCTGCTGGTTCTGGCCCTCGTGAGCTGCTGGAACAGCTCCTTGGGGAAAGTGTTGTGAGTATATAAAGGCCTTGCTCAAATCCTGGATGTTCGTATCAAACTTGTTAAGTTTGATAACTTTAGCCTAGCTACAGAATCTTCACTGACTCAGAGCTCATACAAATTTCAGCAAACAGCTTTTTGCACTGTCCTGCCTGTGCTGTTAAGATTCCAATCGGGACAATTACTGTAAATCAAAGTGCTTCATTTGCATTGTCCACTCTAGCCTAGAGTTTCCTTTTGCTTCCAGCAGCATGCAGCCAAGTATCCTTATTCTCCCAATTCCTAACACATCAGGCTTTAGTGTCTTGCCTGTCTCCAGGGGCAGAACAAAATACTGAAAGAGAAAGCATTTCAAAATGAGAACTGACTGCTTTAAAATTTCCTGGCAATGTATCTTGAAAAATCTGTGTAGGGAAAAAAATGTTAACAATTATAATGCAGATTAAATACCTGATATATGGACCTGAACCATATAGCTGTTTCCCTTTTAACTTAATGCACAGATACCTCAAACCAAGGGTATGAGTGGGCTGAAACAACTAATCACATTTTGGCACAGACAAGTACAAAAGGAAACCCAGAACTACTAATTCAACAGCTTGAAATATCAGCTGCTGCATGCAAGATCTTTACAGAACTCCTCTGAGGAGAACATACCCTTTTAAAATTGTGATTTTTCATTTTAAAAATGTCAGAAGATATCTCAGGAAAATTATAAAAGAATCCAGCATCATTGATATAAAGCGTGAATCCACTGAAGTCTCATAGACATAAGGTTCCCTTACCTCCACTCCTAATTTCATCACATATATTCCTCTCAGTTATCAGGGTCCTATCACACATTTTGCATATTCTCCATGCATATGTTCAGAAATGTTATTCAGCAATAAAAACAGGTCTAAACTGGGAGAAGTGATGTAAGAGAGAGAAGTTCAAGGAGGTTTAATAACATCCTACAAAGCTGTGTCCCCCCATGGCTTCAGGACTGCAAGCATCTCAACACATCTTTGCTCCAAACATTTGCCAAAGACCTTCACTATAGGACTCTCTCTGTGGGTCCTTGGGGACCATATAATTGAAGGCACAAAGAAGCCTATTCATTTGTCCTTCACAGAGAAAGTAGGTGGATAACTATGATTTTGTGGCAGGGCTCTTACCTATAGCTCCTCTGCAGCGAAATGGGTACAGCTGTGCTGTTTAGCAGGTGTTTCCATGTCACTGTACCCTTTTTTACCAGTGTGACATAAATGACCCAAGTGTACCTTCATTCCACTCTTCCTCTGGGATCCGCAGCTGATTTCAATGACTCAGAAACAGACTCTTCAAAACAGAGTATTATCTAAACATTAGCTGTTCACCAAATGTTCCACAGTAACCAGATAAAAATGAGAAAAAGACTCTGTCATTCCTTGCCTATACTGTATCTTTCCCTACAGAATTTAGGTAAATTGCACTTGAGAGCAGCTACCTCTTTCCTTCATGTGTAGGAGGGGAAGACAGCTTATCCTCTGGCTTGTTCTCTTTGTAACTGCAGGCTTTGATCCTATGCTTGGAGTAGATGAAGAGAAGCCTAACAGGGTAGGCAGAGACAGACATACAGGCATGCCCTCCATTATTTCCTCTACCACTGACCTCTTCCAGGCTGCTGGTATATTTGGATTAACCTTACCTGTCATAATTTTGCTTTCTTTCAAAAAAATAATTCTTCCTGTTCTCACCTACAAAACAGCAAAAAGTACATAAATTATACATAAAAGTGCATAAATTGGCTTAATTTTTAAATATAAATAATAAACCTAGAAGCCCAAAATATGACCTCTTAAATAAAATGTCAGCATATGATTCCTTCACACATATGGAGTTCACCAGTGCTGAAAGGAGAAGATCCAAGTCTTCTCCTTCCTCCCTTCCCTCCTGCTGGCTGCATATCTTCCTTCCACCTTGTGCTGGCTCTGCCATTCACTGAGAGCAAATATGAGTCACAGAGGTAGTGAAAATACAATCCATCAAAAAGTGAATAGTGTTCTGCCCTATTAAGAAACTCAAAAAAGCATCTCAATCAGCACATCCAAGAAGTTGGACCCTGCAATTAGCAGAGAGGAAGAAGTAGAGGGGAAGGCAGGAAGGGTGAGATGTTCTTTTGGATGGAAAAAGCTCAGTGGCTGTCTGAGTCCATAAGTAAAACACTGAAGGAAGAAAGGGGAAAAATCAGTTTTGAAGGCTGATGATGATAGCAGCATCTCAAACCCTTCTCCATGGGATGGCTTTGGAACTGTCCTGGCAAATATCTCTTACTGCTCACGTACAGCTACTGTCCTGTGGATCTTTAGCTCCTCCTGTCCAGCTTCAACAAAGCTGCATTTGAGGAAAAGTAACTGAACATACATTAAAAATGAATTGCTAGGAAAAAGGAAGCATTTCTTTACTGCAGCAATATTCTTCAATGTCAAGGAGCTGCTGGCAGTGCTCAGCCTCTGGGACTATGCCTAAAGAGCTGCACCAGAAAAAAGCTCTTTCTTTTATGTGTAAGTGCCAGGATACTGCTCCCCATCCCACCCAGGCACAGAAATGGCCCTAGAGATCCATATATTTTAACCTTCAGACTTTATTACCATTAATTATATCTGGAAGTGAAGCCAGGATCCCCAAGAACACGGCAGCAGGAACAAAACACAATCATCCATCTGCCTAGCAACATGGGTTGCCATGAGTACTTCTCCCCGTGCTCCACAGGCAGCAGGGGCTCGCCACTGAAAGCTGAGCCAAGCTCAAGAGCCCCTTGAAAAAGGGCAAAGAGAGTCTGCTTCCTCAGAAGAAGACATTCCATCTCCAAGACCTTCCTCTGGAGCCTAGAATGGGTCAGCCAGCAGACTGAAATTGGGAAATGAGGGATTTCTGGAGTACTGAAAAAAATTCCAGTGGAATTGCTCTCACAAGAAGCAAAAGCAATGACGTTGGGAACATCAATGCTGTTAAAACTCCATTCTTTTCTTCTCTGTTCTGTTGAGAAAGTTCTTTCCATGTTTTAGTACCATGCCAAAAAAATCCCCAATAACATACTATCAAATCACTGACTTTTTACACTTACAAAGAAAAGAAGAAAAACCTGTGAGTGGTACTGAAGACATGGAATTACTTTATAACATCCCTACCTCAGGAGATCTTTGAATCACCAACCGTTTGTAGGAGGCTCAGAGACAGTATTTAAGATAGTCATTTGTGTGGTTCTCCACTGAGCACCTGCTTTAGGCCTCATTAGAAGAAAGGATACTCAAAGAGACAGGTTTTGACATGTCCCAGAAGGTTCATTTTGCTGATCTTAGAAAAAGCAAAAGATTACTTGATAATTATTCAATATTTAAGGGAGCCGCCCTGATAATGTGGCTATCTAGAAGCTATTTAAAAATAGGGATTTGTTAGGAAAACAAATTCAAGGTTTCAAACTGACATTTCAACAATTGTAATTGAATGGGACTCTTGAATAATGGAATTATATTCATGTTACCAATATTGTGGAGCTAACCTTTAAAAAATAGCTCTTACTTTGTTGTTTGCCATATCATAACATGCAATTTAAGAATATAAAGGCCATAGCAGAGATAAATAAGCCCAAAGTGCATTTTACAAAGATGTCAACCATGACACAGAAGTAGTTAACCTTGGGATGAGAGAAGGAGCTATAGGTTATACATCTGAATGATCATATAGGGCCCTTAATCAGTTGAGGCATGATATAGTACTTTTTAATACTTAGAAAAATCTTCCTAGCTCATGAGTAGCACAACTACTTCCTTTTCTATCACCTGTCAAGACTTTTTGGGCATGAAAATGTTGCTGTACTCACTAAGTTAGTAATAATCAAAAACAATGAACCTGGGTATAGAGAATCTAAGCACTTCTGATTATTCTACTTTCTTCAGAATGCAAATCTTCATTTATTAAAAAAAAAATTAGACCATCTGCTTGTGAAGATTATGTTTGGATAGGTGATGCAACACTATCCTTTTAAATTTACAGTAGGATAGTAAGGGAGAAAATCATCTTCCATAACAAGTCCCGTTACCATGTTCAGGATTTTACTTTACAAGTCTGACCCCACTACCTGCTCAGGTTAAGTTCAGAATTTCAGTGGGAATAAAGTTAAAGTCTGGGGGACTGATCTTAATTCGCAATTTATTCATCTCCACTAAGACAAAGGGCACAGGATTAAGCCTAGTGTTATAGCATAAGCACCACCTTAATTCTCATTCATCTCAGTGGTATTTTATTCAAAAGACTAATTGTATGGCTAGCTTGTTTTTCCAGGTTCATGAATTTCATTTATTACTTAAATATAAGCTTTAACTTTGCAGATATCAAATGTATTTCTATATTTAAATAGTTAACTCTGATCTAACTAGAGATACTGCATAGAGTATGTTTTGTAGACTTCCAATACAGACTTACTATTGTAAAATGAAAGTTGCTTTGAAATAAAATACTTTAAAATACTTTGTTATTTTAAGAGTGGGAAAAAGAAACAGAACTAAGACACATCCCAGAAATATTTTCTATACCTTCAGAATAAGAAAGAAATTGAACTCCTATTTGATTCCCTCATGAGGCATAGGGAACTTTGATGCACTGTGGCAAGAAGATATATAGCTGTATTAATGAAAATCTAATCTGTGCTCAGAGACTTTGCGTGTTGGCTATAAATGTAAAATATTCATACCACAATAGCCTGTTAGACTGTCAAAAGCTGAAGTTCGGCCAATTTTACCAGAAAGAGTTGACATTTTGCTATATTCTTCATTCTAGGGAGCTGAGAAAATAAGCTATCAAAACCACTCCTCCACTTGTAAATTTTGCCAGTGCAACTATTTAGATATGGCATAAATCTAGATATAGGAAGTGTTTGTCTACTGCACCATTTAGACACAGTAACTCAAACTAAGAGCAATAACAAATACTTCAGATTGGTGAGTTTTTGTGTCACTGTGCCAGGAGAAGCAGAGACAGCACCTATTGAAGTGGAGGGAGAACAACCCACCTCTGTTGGTTCAGCATCTGACTCCGTTTATTGACTCAATCAGTCACTTTTTATAACCGTGTTAATTAAGTTCATGCATATTGCAAACCCGAGCTCACAATAGGTCAGAGATAACACACCAACCCCTCCTTTTGTTTCCAATACCAAGATTTGGGTTCTCAAAATTATTTTTGATTTCCCAAAACAGCCAAAGATAGAATATCTACTTGTTATGAGAAAGCTGCCTGAGAACTCTGGTATGCAAGGTTCCCAAGGCCTTCATGTTTGTCACTTTTACTTGTAATTAAAAACAACCTGAGAACTTCTACTGTTTACAGAAACAGGCTGTGAGAATTTGCTCCTCACAGCTGCCTTCTAAGCCATTTCTGAAAAAATCTCCAACAAGCACCTCCTTTTGTATCAACTTCTCTGCCATGACCCAAGGAACAGCCATGAAAGGATCTGAGGAGAAAACTGATTCAGCTAGAGAATACTTTTGTTTTTTGGTTGTGGTTACCAGGTTGTGAGCTGGGCCAGTGTGGCAGAAAGGAGAGTGTAAGAACAACTGTCGGGGCAGAGGAAACACAGACCTGCCACTGAGGAGCAGCCTGACACTTCCGGTGCAATCTCCAAGAAGGGGCTGTGTTCTGTCACTGGCTTTGCCTTCTCCCAACTCAGATGGCTGCTGAACTGTCTTCCAGTCCTGCTCCATTCACATAAAGGTGCACCAAGGAAGCAAAAGCAGGGCTTGGAAAAAGAAACATCATCATTTATTAGACTAGCTGACAGAGCTGAAAGGATAAAAAAACCCAAAACAACAACACAGTGGTTTTGGACATATAATCCCTTTTTCGGCTCTGAAAAGAAACTGCATCCCTTCAACAGAGTGCATTGGTCATCATTTCCAAATAACTGCAGCTTTATTATGTTACCTCATTTGGATTGTTGGAGTGAAATGGCTAGGTGGGAACAGCAAGGTAGAAGCAGTGTTTGCAAAGGGATACATGGTAAGGATATTAGCCTTGGGGAACTAAAAGATAAGCAGTTATCACATGCAGAGCCCTAAGGAGCAGAGAAAACTGCAACGTGCTAAGTGCTAAACTGATTCTAACAGACACCGCAGATAGCTGCAAATAAAGAAAACTTAACATGAAGAGGCACTTAAGCATCCTGATAAAGCCATTTCAATTGTCTTTGGACATTCAGAGCTATATCACTTAAGAATTTATGAAACCGTGCAATGAACCGCACCAGGGAAATGACAAACAACTGGAAAATAACCCAGGAAATACAAATTGGCCACAAAGTACTAAGGGGTTATTTCTGTGTGAGATGAGTTCTCATTTGCTGAATAGCCACCTAAAGACATGCACAGTGTAATGTAGGGAGCAACAACTGCTTAAGTCGTAGCTGCTGATGAGACAGTTGCTTGTCAGGCACTCTGATCACACACAGGTCAGTGAGTAAGATTATTCCAACATATAAAGATTTAAAGCATAGGAAAGCTGTGATCAATGATCTCCTCGCTTAAGGAAGTTATGTCTAAGACTGCACAGGATAGTAAAAAGGGACTATTTCATATATACATACCTGCTAACTGAACTTTCCCAAGTGAAAATACAAGTTTAATAATCCATCTGAAACTCTGGATCTGTAAACCCTAGATAGGTAAATTCTTCCCAGTTCATTAGCACCATGGTTTGCCCTCAGGAGCAAGATGGCTATGGAAATAAACCTAAAAGTGGTACCACTTGCAGTGCAAGATAATTATTTTTTTCTAATTGCTTATTGAAATATATATTAAAACAGAGCACAGCTTTTATCTGGTTTTATATATACTTGCATGATACAACAGTATTTATTGGCATTGCTGTATATATCAGTGACACCTTGAAAGCTGGAGTTACTGTCAGTTCAGATTAACTCAAGCAGACAGAGTCAATTTTTTAACTAAATCACAAATTCTGGAAACCTGAAGACCAAACCTTGCTGCAGTGGTTTGAGGCAATAATGTCTCTTAGTGACCTTACCTTCCACTACCAGCTCACATCTCTCACTCTGTAATGGAAGAACTCGTTAACAGTGGGTGTGGATGTCCTGGTATGTCTCCTTCCATCTCCCTTCCTCTCACCTTGGCTGTTCAACACAGCACAGCATATTTAATAATTTAAATTGATATAAACATAGCTGTGGCCCAGGGAGTGGTCACACATCCCAATTTGTCACTTCTCAAAACAGTGTATCTGCTGGGACAGTAAAATCTTAAACCACTGCAGCTAAACTAGAGCCAATCTGCCATTGAAATTGATAAGTGTGGGTTCTCTGTTACCAGACCTCAACTGGGAGCCTGGACAAGTTTTTCAACTTCCATTTGTTCAGACCAAGACATGTAAGTGAATGTTCATGTGCAGCTGTTCACCAGATTAAGAACCAGCCTCAAAGAGCTCAGGATTCCCCACCTGAAAAGTGTTGTATTGTATTTCTGTTGCTTGTAAGCTGAGTATCAGTGTTGGGTATTTTAGGATATCTTTAAGATACTGTTTGTTTCTCTCTCCCCATCCCCTTTGCAAGTAGTTTGTTTTTTATGTGCAGTGTGGAGCACCCAAGATGCGTTGAAGGTACAGATGGTGTACCCAAGTGCCGAGAATTCTGGAGGTTCTCCTTTTGTGTCCTGTGTGCCTCTTAAACACCTAAAGCAGACACAATACTTGAAGCCTTCCTTTCAGCGGCACCGCCACTTTTCCTCCTCCCACGGTGAAATACCTGCATGCTAGAAGTTGAGGTTTCACAGAACCATAGACAGACCCAGGATCACCAGATCCCAAGACACTAAACTGACCACACTGTTGATCTCTGGCCCTGACACCACCAAATCTAGCAGGATCAAATAACAAGGGGGTGCAGTGACATGTTCTCTCTTCTAACGCCTGGTCAAATATTTACAGGCTGGAAGGGACCACAGATGGGGTCATTTGGTCCAGCCTCTCTTGGTCTCCCCAGCAAGCCTGCATGGCCACAGTAGTATTTTCATTAAGCAGTTTATCTATGAGACCTTCCAAAATGGCTACCAGAAATCTGCCAGGATGCTCATGAACTGATCTGGTAGCCATGGAGATACACATGATCCTTCTAATCTAAAATTTCAGAAGTCTGAGAACCTCTTGTTCTCCTAAACAACTCTAGCAGCCAATTTTTTAGTATATTTTCAGGAGTCCCATTCCCAGAGTGACTGAAGAGCTCCTCAGTAAATACATCACAATCCCAGAAAGGACTAAAAGAGGTTTTTAGTCTTTGTGAATTACTTGCATTCGGTAGTAGAAGCAAGAAGCTGATTTTCAGATCTCTGTTTTTATCACTTTCCAACCTATATTCATTGACATAAAATATAAATGCATAAAGTTATCAGCCTAGAGCTATTGGCTTCCCTATAGATTTGAAAAATGAGAAACACAGAGGAGAATGTCTGATTTGAGACTTCCAAAGAAATAAATACCCATGTCTTTTTCTCAGTAGGAGCAATCTTCAGTAATATCAGAGTTTGAAAGGAGTTGGAGGTGGGGGGACCTCCACAATCACAGATCACACAAAGCTCCTGGGCTGGCATCTTATCTGCATAAGGTGTGGCTGGTTTTGAAGGGGCCAGTGCCATTAGCAGCAGTTCAGTGGTTGGAAGGATATCTTTTGTTTTGAAGAGAACCATTACCAAATCCTTTTCTTCACCCGCCCCACATCTTTCAATAGCCTGGTGAATTGCAGCAGATAAGAGTTGGGTTTATATTAAGCATAAAGTTTCACAGACCAATCTAGCTTGTAAGAGCCCTTTTTTAAGTCAACTTTGTGATCACAAATAATTGCACGGAATTAATCACTTATATTGTCACTTGGAAATCAAGAATAAAAGTGCTAATTTCTGGAAGCTGGAGAGAACATACAAGCATACGTGCTATGTGCTGAGAAAAACTGATGGAAATATGCACTGGGAAGAAAAAGATCTGTGAGGTATTACTGTTGGAAGAATTAGAATGAAACCTAAATGGGAGGATTTAAAAATAGAACAGAAATGAAGAACAGAAGTGAAAAAAACCACAATCAAATACTTGAAACAGAAGCATCAGGGAAAAATGAAAAAAAATGAAAGTAAAACTCCATATAGATAGGTAGAAAAATTGTATGTGGCACAGTAATGTATAAAGAAGCTTTAAGTTCGGGGCGGGGGGAGGAGATGGGGGGGAGGTGGGATCAAAACAAAAATCCAAGCCCAACAAACAAAAATTGAAGAGAGGATGATCTACTGATACAAAATATCAGCAGACCTAAATGGCTAATGGAAAAATCCCAGTCTTGAGGCACATACTCATACTACATCCCAATCATAAGGCAAATATATATGCTTAGCTTTACCTCACACAACACCAGTGAGTTCAGCAGTAAGCTCCACCAGTGTAAATCACACTTCTCCCTCTCTTACACCCCCAGTTTCAGCAGATGCAGCCACAGTAAAGACTGGGGGAAAAAAAAAGAAGACAGGAATGAAATGCAATTTTCAAGTCAGACTGTTAAAAGTACTGAAAGAAAATACTTCTTTATCCTTACAAATGTGGTTCCAAAAAGATCTAAAGGGTAGAAAGGGAAAAGCCAACATACTGTTACCCAGCTTTAAACTTTTTAATTTTGAAAAAGAGGCTGATAGAATTTTAAGAGATCCTGGTACCCTGCAATAAGCAACCTTACTGCTAATTGGAACACTGTTTCATAAATTTTCTTTTCTTACTTCTAAGGAGTTTTCTCAGTTTTCATATTCTCTAGAATTAACAGAATCTCTGAAGTAATTTCAGAAGGAAAAAGTAATAAGTTAGTTTAATAAACTTGACCAAAGAAGGAAAGTAAATTTCAATTTTCAACAAAAATGCTTCAAATCCAGAACACATTCTAGAAGAGCACAGTGTTTACCACTGGTATTTATTAAATGTTTTTTTAAACTTTGCTTTATTCAAACTTCTTCTGGATACTACCCAAGAATAAACCCTGACAGCATGAGGCAGCTGAAGCCCAGCCGTGTGTGTGTGTGTGTGTGTGTGTGTGTGTGTGCAGGCAGGCTCCTTGCTGCTGCACCAGCCCTCCTCCTGCAGCCCACACAGGGTGGGCTGCTCCAGCTCCTGCACCTCACTCTCTGCCGTCTGCCCTCTGACTGAAAGCCACAGACTCCTAGGAAAGCCATGGTACACATCCCAACCAAATTCTTCCCCTTCTCCTGTCAGGCTGCCGGCTTGTTCCTTGGCTCAGAGGTACCTTGGGTCTCCAGGTGCCTGTTCCTGAGCAGACGGGCCCCAAGCGCTGCTGGCTGTGGGTGATGAGTGCATCCCAGCTCTTGGCTCCGGCAGGGCTTCATTTGGCTGCCTTGCAAAGGGAAGTGCTCTGTCCCTGGGTCTGAAAGTGCAAGCTTCCAGTGTGGTCCCCCATCACACCAGTAACAGTTTGCGTGCTGGGGAGAGGAGGAGGAAGGCATGAGAGAAGGAGGGGTATTTTCACAAGTTTTTCTGCTGAGTATCCAAATGGGTTTCTTTGGATCTGTTACCTGTTCACAGCAAAGAAAGTGAAAAGTGACTCAGCACCCATGTTCATTCACTTCCTTCCCAGGCTGCCAGTTTGGGGGTTATCTGGGGTAGAGTTCTCCAAAGCAGCCCTCGTTCACTTGGAAGCAGATTTTCAGCTCATTTCATGTGGGCTGCTGCAAGCTGCAATCCACTGCCAGCACAGGTCAGGTTCAAGCCAGATTTCTCAATGTTCCAGCAAAGTTCTGCATCATTATGATAAAGTATTTCAAGTACATGAAAGCATTTGAGATACATACAAATGGATGAAGAATATAGGGAAAGCTATAAATCAGCAATTGAGAAGTACAAAAGAACAAAAGGAAATATTACTAAAAATATTTCCTCATAATAAGCGTGCTTCAAATAAACAATGGACTTAAAACTTTCTTCTGATTTACTGCTGTTTGCAAAACCATGGCATTAGGTAGAAACTCATCTTGTTAAGCCTAAGAACTTGGACAGGGATGGCTAGATTTAGTTACTATGGAGTTTTAAAAAAATGTTGGCTTTTGTGATGAGACCAGCTTCAGAGAAGAAAGAGAGGATAAAAGAAAAGATGCTGGGTTTAAGCATTCATTTAAAGATTTGCCATCTGAATGCTCTGCATTAATTTCTTTTAATGCTGATCAGTTATAAGAGCTTTTCTTCATGTAATTGCTTATTTTTCAAGTGTTTTGTGGTTATTTTGTTGTTGTTGTTGTTTTTAAACTAGAGTATCTGAGACTTTCCCATCCATGACCAGTGGAACATACTGGTGATAAAAAATCTAGATATTGTGGACAATCTGCCTCTTCTCTGTTTTGAAGGTGTGAGATTTGTGCTTGAAGTGCATGTCTGCTTTCACTCCTTTATAATGATTCTTTTGGTTGTAAATTTTTCAAGTATGTAAATGATAGACAAGCACACTGTTGTCACACAGATCTTATTTCAGAAACACTGCCCTGCCTATGATAATAGGATTGTTAAAACCATTATTTGTTAAGACAGGCATGCTGTGTTCACCTTGCTTCTTACTTTCTTAACTTTTGCTGTTGAGGATCTTTTATTTTGCTGGTATGTGAAGCAGGAGAAATGTGCAGATGTCTTTTCTCATAGAGGAACTGCCAGGCAGTTCTATTTTCTTTTGTATGAAAAAGAAGTCATAAAATCCAGAATCTAATTGAGGCCCTGACCCCGTAATGAACTCAGCAGTCACATGGGTCTGGGGACACAGTCAAAGCTATAGGAGAAAAAGCCTTGGATTGCAAATACTGACAATTAAGGATGCTGCTTAAAACACATTGGCCTGATCTTATTTGAAATGATAGCTTTAAGTTCCCACCAGAAAATCTTGGTTGGATAGTTTAGGAGCTTGTTAACTCTTGGATTAGCTGCTTTACAGCAGAAAGCCCTTAGAAAATTTTTTACCCTCCTCCTTCCTGACTTTACTGGCACTGTTCCTTCAGAACAGCGTGACCTGATGGGATACCTGGTTGTGATTCACAAGTCATGCTGGAAGGGCTGCCTGCCTTCTGGCCAGGGTGCACTCCGAGAAATATTCTTAGTGTATGGATGTGGAACAGCAAGGTTACACGTCAGTGCTTTACTTCTGCTGTTTATTGTCAAATAATTGTTCTCAGAGAGTTTGTAGGAGACTCACTGAGTTTTTTATGCTTTCCTAGGAAATTACCTGTAGTCATTTGCTAGCAGTTGCTTTAGTGTGTTGTCAGAAGAGTTTCTGTTGCTAAGTCTTTTATATGAAACTATGCTGGTTTCCCTCAGGCTAAAAAAAAAAAAAAAAGGCTGAGCAGATTTGCTCCAGCAGAGTGGGTTAAAGAGCAGTTTTTCTACGGTGAAGTTAACTCAGTTCCTAAAATGAATCAACTGACCAAACCTCTGACCTCATTTCTTTATCCTCCTTTTAAAAATTATATAGGGTTCAATCTTAAAGTTAAGTTTTCATTTTTGAGCTGGCTTCATTTGAGGCTAAAAGAAAAGCAGCTGGACTTGGATACTGCTTCCAAAGGTAAAAGCCAAGAGATCTGCAACCAAGACTGTGAGGAAAGGCAGTTTTGTACTCTCCAAGATACTTTTTGGTGCTTTGGAGTCTGCTTAGCAGACCTCAGGATTTTGTAACAGCTGCCTTGTAGGATTGCCGGGGTAGTGCCCAAACAGGGAAAGCTGCTGGGAGTCTATCTATTGATCTGGGCTCCAGCTGTGTGTCACACAGAAGCGGCCATCTTGAAAGCATTCTAACATGTATGAAAGAATATTTAAAAATAGTTCACTTAGTCAGCTTTATCTATCACAGATTTAAGGCATGCCATGGTAGTACCTTTAGTTACCATAAAATATTCTTTAAAATTCTAGGTTTATATGGATTTTTTAGCATGGCCTTCCCAATCTGTAGAAGCCACTTTTTGTGAACTGAGTAGACAGAGGAGATGGTCTAAGAGCAAGCACACAAAAAGTGTGCCACAAAAAGTGTGTGGTGACTTTTCTTTTTTGGCAAGAGCATCTTATGATGTTTATGAGGGAAAGGAGAAAGATGTATTGAAGAAGATTAAAGAGTAAAATCCTTTAAGTGTAAAATTACCATAGGCATGTATTGTGTGTACTACAAAGAGTGTTAAGTACAAGATGAGAAAACCAGCCCCAGAAGATGGTTAGCTGGACATCAGTGGGGGCTGTATTTTCAAAGTCAGGTTGAACAGAAAAGTTGCATTAAGCAAGAGCTGGTCTGTGGCTGCCAGTTATGAATTTTCCTATCTCCATGATTGGGTTTAGTTACACATCTTGACCATTTGTCTCTTCATATGCGAGCAGAAAGGTACACAGAAACTGATAGTCAACCTTAAAACCTACTTATGATTGTTGTAATAGACCCTTTGAGAGATTAATTGATACTCCCTTGAAATGGTTCTTCCACATTGTTTTCTCACAGGAGAACCATATTTTTGGAAGCTGATTTACAATGCTACCTCCTCTTCCACAGACTGACTGCTGTGCAGAGGGGTTTAGTCTATCTAAATTTCCAGAGTTCACAGCTCCACTCTAGTGAATGTGTATATGTGGCAAGTTACCAAAAAAATCTCCAGGAACTGCAGATGTCTGATTTGTGGAGCTAAGTATCTTCTTATGAATTAGTTCACATATAGGATTTGAGACATGTGTAGTGAATAAACTTCTGTATGGCTCTGAATAAAGCCAAAATGAATCCTGGTTTTAATGTTGGAGAATGCAGCCTTTTTTCTCAAGGCCAGGCTTAGAAACTGTAAGTCATTGAATGCTCTGAACTGAGAAACTGTTTCTCAGAAACTCATGGGCTTGGGTTTTGGATTTTTTTGTTAAGCAAAGCACATTACTCCTTGGAAATGGGAAAAGGGGGATTCTTTTTTGGTATGGGGTAGTGAGGGTGACAAACACAGGTCATAGCTGACATGTGATGTCCCAGTGTGGCTTTCCAGTGCTTCCTTCTGCTTGGTGGGATTACTCAGCTACATCATCCAGCACAGAGGAAAAGCAAAAGAACATTAGTCTCTTAAAAATTACTTGTTTACCAACTCTGAAGTGACAGTCACCTACAGGCCTAAAGCTGGCAGAAAGTGTAATAAGACCAGCTTCTGAGGAGAACTAGCTAACCAAACCAGTGCCAGAAATCTGAATTCAGTCCCTTGAACCTTGACAGATCTACTTGTAATTAGACACTAACTACCCCTTAGGTCCTGAGGATGCTGTCAGACTTAACTAATCTGGTTCCTATGGAATTAATAGGCCTTATTTTGGCATATGACCACCTCATTTCTGAGACTGAACTCCCTTGATATTAAAATATCATGGAGAGATTATTGACAGTACAAGGCAAGGTCAGTCTAGTTCAGCATCCTGACTGTGATGGTGAGCAGTAGTGCATGTCAGGGAATGAGGAGCACAGTGCTATTACTCCAAAACAAACTCCTGGCCTCCTGGCAGACAGATCCTAAGATAGACCCACCTATGGAGATAGATAAATATCTAAGGGGGGCTAAGAAATCATCAGAACTGCCTGTTAGTTGTGCAACCTCACTTGGGACAAATCAGCACTTTAAAAATGCCTGAAAATTTCTCATTGAGTCTAGTAATGATTAATGAGTATTTCATGAGCAGTGATGAAAAGGGAGAAAGAAAAAGACTCGCTCCACACACTGCCTGCTAGCATAAAAGGCAGCAGAGTATTTCAATAATGATATTCTCTTTTAAAGTAATGGTGTGTTGAATGTGGAAATCTGGAGGCAATATTATTTGAGGGTAGATGGAATAAGGAAGAAGAGACCAGGAACATACTTTGATGGTCAGATGTAGGGTGAAGCACAACAAAAGGAGCCAGAACAGGACAGACAAGGCTTTAAGAGAGCAGAAGAGGGAAACACAAATGCCTGGGTTCTCCTGCAACAAAGAAGATGTGTGGAAAGGTTCAAAGCCCAGGTGGGATTGGACTCTTGTGATTGTTCAATGCCCTCCTAAAAGCTTCCTCTTCCTTTTGTTACCTCTTTGTCACTGCTCTTGGTAAACAGAAAGAGGAGAGAGATTTGGAAGAACTAAGGGTGAATAATGGAAAGAACATTATAGGTGAGCAGAGCAGCTAATTGAAGTCTAAGGGAGAACAAACAAAAATGAGGGAAACCAGAAACTGATCTGCTGAAGGGCCAAGTTCCAGAGGACTTGGAAATTACTTTTGAGAGGGAAGACTGGTTTGGAGAGAAAAAGAGTTTAGGTTAGGAAGTAATAGAGGTAGGAGAAAAATGATTGATAAAAAGTGCATAGGATTGCATCTTTCATATATGGGGGCACGTCACTTTTCATTTAAATAGAAAGGAAGATTATGTTTCAATATATTTTGAGACCAAAAAGGCAATTTTAATAGAGGAGTATTGTGGTTATCAGCAATCATGTTTTGTTTTTCATATGGCCATCATCATACAAGTAGCAGCTTTGCACATTAAAGCTTAAAGTGCTTTACTTTAGTGTTATCTTGTTCCAGGAGGCTGCATCACCAAATACTCATTTTTGATATGGCTGGTATCTGTCTATCTGCATGTTCTATGAAAAGCAGAGTTGGAGGATTCACTCAGTATCTGAACTAAGAGAGGGTATGGCAAAGAGGAGAGCATACATCCTTAACCCATTTTTCTCCAAAGTATGAATAAGGGAAAGGCAAACTCTTGAAAGGACTCAAAGAGGACAGGGGAGTATCTTAAGAGAGATTTTTCCCAGGGACAGATGTG